CACAAAGACTGATATACAGCACTCTACAAACACTAAACTTCTTGGCATTTACATGCATGTGTAAGCACGTGCACAAAGATACACACACGCATGCATACACACCAGCTTGGCTACCCTCTGTTCCTGGCAGAAAACACAGATTCTGCCCTACTAGCTCGCTGACCGACATATGGATGGATGGATGGAGGTGGCTCGTGGCTTGCCGTGATCAGTGGCGTGTGTGTACAGTGTGTTTGCATCAAGCGTTAATGTGTCCACATGTCACAAGTATGAATGGACGACGAGCTGACTGGTTTTGTCTGTGTGCCAGTAGCCAAGCTGTGCCGTCTCCTCCCCTTCTGCTCACTGACAGTTGGACCCTCGTCTCCTTCTCTCCAGCCATTGCCCACTCAACCTTATTTCTCCTTCACCCATATGTTATCTGATATGGTTTATCTACTACACCCTACTCCTTGCAATATTGAGGTCTGTGTGTTTTTTTTTTGTTTTTTTTTAACTAAATCAAAACCAATGAGTTACAATTAATGAAGGAAAGTAAAATGCAGAAAAGAAGCCTCAAAAGGGTTTATTTACATTGTCTTGGATTAAGATTATAAATAAGATAAATTAATCAAAATTTGTAGGACTTTGAAATTTGAGAGAGTTCTTTAAGTTCTAAGTTTAGACCACTATATGTTATTGAAAATCGACCTCTGCTAGTACGATGTTAAGGAAGATGAAGATTATATGAATGTCTGGTTGAGTAATAAATTGCACCAGGTTGTAAAATGAGCTGTAAAATGTCTCAATTATTTCACTGGTTTGACATTCTAACAAAAATGATTTTAGAGGAAGACGATTTTATCTAGGGTTGTTGTATATAAAGTTAAAGTAAGTAAAAAGGTCTTAAAGTGTCTTCTGTTTGAGATACAATTGTTTAATCATAAATGGGACGAGTCATAAAACCATCATTCAGAAACGTACTCTTTAAAATGCTGTGATTGACTGTATGTAAAGCTTTTGAAACCTCTAGCAATATGGTACAAATATATTTATATTTTTCACCTGATATTTTGTCTGTAATGTTGTCTTATTTCCTTGATTGTCACATGCTTTTAGCTCCTCACTTTGCCGCCTCATTGCTCTACCTGTTATCATTTTACTCTCCGTGGGCTGTTTGGTGTACGGCGCTGCTAAAAAGGTTATCCTTTCCCCATGTTGTGTTAATTAGCAGCAAAACAGGCTGCAAGACTCAAGGGGGTACGAGCTGGCACTGCCACCGTGCTCTCTTTCTGTCTATCTTTTATACTTTTTTTTTTTTAGTCTCCTCCATTGCATGGAATTACATGGCTTATGCTTCATCCCTCTCACATTCACTCATCTTTCCTCCGTCTCTCTTTTGTTTTTCTATCCGCCCAGCAGCTCTTGCATGCAGGGTAGCTCCTATGTTAGCATAGCCACCCACGTTTCTTTATCTGAGTCACATGGCTGCCCTGTTGACTTTGATCCTCAGATCTCAGTATCAAGGGACCATTCACCCGCTCGCCTGGGGGAGGTGACAGAAATGTCTGTGTTTTCCTTCTGTGTGAGTGAGACAGAAAGGGAGCGAGATGCAATAAGTGGAGAGTGAGAGATGACAGAGCCTGTGATCCAATATTTTCCCCTCCTAGATTTTGGGATGGTTTCTCTGTTCGGTTGCTCTGTGACATGTGTGACATGAATCGAATCTCTTTGCGTCTTTGTTGTTGCCTGCCTGCCTGTGATCCTCTGTCCTCTATCACTGGACTCTCAGCCACAGCGATGAAACTATTGATGTCGCCAGTCATTTGTTTGCTCGTCCATTCAGCCATTCAGATCCAGGGCTGTAATTTAAAGAATCAATAGCGAGCTGATGGAACTATATGCTAAACTGGCTCCAATCCTTTGAATTTGAAGCGACACATGTGAGCACCAGTGACTGCTTTGCCTCATTTGTCTGTGCAGTCCCTCTCTCGTGCATAGTTTCCTTTTTCTATTATAAAATACCATCTGCACCTGCAAATTACACCATAATTACAAGTAATAAATCACATCAGGGGCACTTTCAAACACAACATCAAATTAAATTCCAGGGTGAAGCGAGTGCTATTCTAGCTTTTAATATGGAGGAAAAGAATGCAGTTTCTTGGAGCCTGGCAGTAAGACATTATGTTGTTTTTTGTGTGGTTATCCCCTTAAAAGGAATTACCACTGTTCCAACATATTGATTTATTTAGTGTGGCAGGATATGACACTGATAGGGAACCCTGTGTGTCAAAGCGTTGCCAATCAGCCCACCCACTAATAGGCTCCTGTTCTGAGATCTCCTGCTAACGATGTCGACTCCACAACCACTGTACTTTACAAAACAAATTATCTTCCCGTCAAATATCTAATTTGGGTTAAATTCCGTTCGCCTCTGGTTTTTGATGAGGTGGTTTTGGAAAAAATTTAGCAAATTGGCAATATATTGAACTACTGAACGCACGAAGAACACAAGAAAGATGAGAAGAGCAGGTGTGTGTTCATCTGACCAACCGTCCATCTGTCCATGTGCTTGTGCGTCTTGGTGAAAGGTGTCCAAACGGCTGCTAATAAAGGCTTAATGAAGTGCCATGGAGATATGGGGGGGAGCTGTCCACACTCACAGATGTGAAACTTAATGAGAGAGTGTGGAGCCATGTACAGAAGCCAGGAAAGCAGATGACCACCTGGCATTTATACTACCATGAAGTTATGGAGGTGTAGGATGTGTGAGTTTGTGGCTTTGAATAAGGAGTGAGCAAACGTTAGTAACTGCGTGTGTGTACAAAGGCATTGTAGTTGGTGTTTTCCACCTGCAAAAAGGAAGCAAATGTAAATGCAATTGTCAGATCATTTCTTTTGACAGATGATCATTTAATGAAACTGTAGAGCAAGGGTTGCTCCACAGATTTACATTAGTGTGTTAATCAACAGCTAATCTTGCAATAAGCAGGCAGTTGTACAGTTAAGTCTTCACATTAAGCCTCATTTCTCTTATTTCAATTAAGTAAAAGGAGGCGCTTAGAGGAAGCTTAAGAAGCCAGCTGCTGGCTCTGTAGCATTTCGACAGCTTATCTCTCCCTGAGTCCTGGGTAGCATTAGTCTCTCTGCAGGGAGCCCTGCTGCTAGCTAGCTAGCTATCCACCATGAGCTCAGTCTTAACAACACACCTTAGCCTCAGGTGAGAAAGATGCCCGGTGTACTGCCGCTGATGGCGCTCATTAGTCTCTGGATTAGCCCTGATTAGCCTAGCCGTTACTCCCACTGATACTCCATGCTAATGCTAATTACGCATTTACCACTTTACCCTTTCTAGACAAGCGGTGAGCCTGGCTGTGCCTAGTTTAAAGTCCCGTGACTTTTTCTTGGCTGCGGCTTCAACACCAGTTTGCACCGCAGTGTATTTTTCTCTGCAGTGACTTGAGTGTAAGCTAATTCAGGAGGTTTTTATCACACACTTGATAAAGAGTGGCGATGGGGATGCTGCTATTTGGGCAGAAGTAATCATCAAAAGTGTGTCAAGATAGGATACAATACCTGAGCTGACAGTAGGCTAATCACTATACAAGCTGTTCTGAAATGAAAAACAATGTGAGAGCATAATTAAGGGGGGCGAACCTGATTTCACGCCCGGTCAAGCATACAACTTTGTGGGAGTTTAACAAAAACAGAGTGAGCTGGCAGATCAGAGCTTTGACTTCATTCCACATGAGTGTTCATAAAGTTAGGCGACGATGAGTGTGACATTAAAGCAGCGTGAAGGCTGTCACAGGCAAGTGACAAAGTGAAATTGACTTTGATGAGATTGAGATGAGGCACAGGCGCCTTTAAGTCGCACTGTCCTTTCATCTCCATCATTGTCAGTCGAAGCCAGACGCGGAGGGTGGTGGAGAGGATGGACGGGAAAGGTGGAGGAGAAGGATGAGCAGATAACCGCAAGCAGAGCAGGAGAGCAGCACCAGGGGGCTGAAGATTAGCGGTGGCTTCTGTTGAAGTGGGTTCCATGCTGATTTCCAGAGCTCTACACGCTGACTACGGCTCTCCGGAGATGCTGACACAAATCCAAACTGATCTGCTTGATTTTGGTGAAATACAGCTCTCACCGGCAAAACTGTACATGTCTCTCAGCAGCTGTGTAAGCAAAAAAAAAAAAAAAACAGAACTTGTGTGGACTCAGCTGTCTGCTTGCTCTGGACACAGTGTTGTGTTCATATACTGTGTTCTTCTTCTGGGAGACGTTGATGTACCTGAGTGGACACTTTGACCCCAATTCACCAGCAGGCTGGTATTCTTAGTGGACAGACATGTTCAAATGTGGGATGTCTGTCTCTGACAGGTTATACTACTTCATGCTTCTTATCAAACCAAGCTGATTTATGGTCACCGCAAGCAAACCACTGGACTATAAAATGTGATTGCAAAGTATTCAGCTTGACTTGTTTTGTGTGAGAGAGGAGAGGACACGCTTTTTGTAAGATAAGACACACACAACCTGTTTTCCTTCAGTTTTTGAAGCAAACTACATTTTCTGCCTGAGATAGCGGTGCTTGCTGGCCTGGATGCCAACCAGTGTGGTCAAAGTGTTTCTCTGTCCTTTCTGTCAGTATAGAAAGTGCCAGTCAGCTGCTTTCATTGGTTTATTTATTCCGTTCGAGCCAGTCTGCTGTGGTTGTGGGAAGTGTTATTACAGATTGCTGCCTCTCAGATTTGTCTCTCTAACAGTGACCTTCACAGGTGACCTCAGAAAACAATTGGCAAGAACTCATCACAGGCTCTTTCAGGGTCAGTCGGTTTGTCTCCCGTGTACTTCAGTTTTGGCAGCAGTGAGAGGAAAGTTGCAGTGTAAGAGGGCAAATTAGGACAATTGGTCCTAGAGTGTTTTTGGCAACATCAATGTGTTGATGTTACACTAATCAAATCTCTTTTTTCTCCCTCTCCCCTCCTCCCCCCCCATCCCTACTTATCCCTCTCTCCTACAGGTGGAGCGAGAAATAGCTATTCTGAAGCTCATAGAACACCCGCATGTTTTAAAGCTACATGATGTCTACGAAAATAAAAAATACTTGTAAGTATCACACGTGGATTGTGTACCAGTTTTGAGTCATGCCAAATGATATTGAATCATAAACCTACTTCACACACTAAATTATTTTTTTGTATGAAAACAGTCTTTAAAATGCCACACATTGTTTCTGTCGGCTTGCAGAGCAGTTGTGATTGGTGTATTATGATTTGAGGGCAAACATCACCGCCTTGGAGGGACGGATACCCCATTAGTATTGGCACGGAGCGTTTAATTTGGTCATGTGCGCTAGGGGACCGCTTTACAGGGAGAGGAAGTCTCCCTAATGTAAACACCATGACACGCTTATCAGAGGCAACACCATTGCATTAAGAAACATTAGCCATGGAGAGTGGCAGCCGCATTGGGCTGCTGCAGCAGCTGCGCACTCACATGCCGGCACACATACAAATCTATTAGTGAACTTTAACTGTGGTGAGTGACAAGCCCATCAGTAGCTTATAGTAGCTCTCTTGATCTACACAGGACTGTTGGTCAACTGAATTCAATTAGTTCTCATCTTGAGCTCGCAGGCCAAATGCGATTGGACATGCGGTACTGCACATGTCATCCTTTAAGATGAAAGGAATAGCAGAATGTTGTGATTCATCGTATAATTGGATGATTAGAATCACATTTTGTGCCCATTGCTTCATCACTTTTGACATTGGGTCACTAGCGTCACAGGAGACTAATTGCTTTACATTTGAATCAGCAGTGACTTAAGTACATTCCATGCTTCACTGAGTACATCTTAGTACAACTTACATCAGCGATGTAAGTTTGAAATGAAAACCATTGAGATTGTTACTCAGATATCTACACATGAAAGCCAATAATTGATGGACAAACTGTGCGTTTTTGAGCTAGCAGTCCCACAGCTGTTGAGATGTATTATGCTGCTGGCACAGATCCCACTGCAAGCTGTTTAAAATGGTGTGTGTGTGTGTGTGTGTGTGTGTGTGTACAAGAGGTGAGGGAGAAGTTTGATACATAGCCCACCGACATTTTATTTATAGATATTTCATTGCTCGAAATGATTGAATGATCACATCATGATGTTGATATCAATTATGCTTTTGAGAATGAAAGATGGTCACGAAAGAAAATGCTGAATAGAGACCATAACTCATACAAGTACACTTGATTTTTTAATTGTGCTGCTATGAGTTGATTTATTTCAGATTTTTGCAGCAGTGTTGAAAAGGTAATACAATTATGAATTTCAACACATGCAAGACAGGTTTTTTTTAAAAGACCTATTAGTATTTGCTGAGCTACCATTGGGAAACAGTGAAGCCAAAATTGCTTAATGTCCAAAATTCACTACAACCCGACATTGCTTGTTATTATGGTAGAAACAGTGAGTCATTGATAATTGTATGACAATGTAAGAGCAAAGTACATAGCTTTTAAGTTTTATTGGGTCACCAATGATTTAGTATTACAAAGCTCCCTTTCAGAGCCACAAAAAAGTGCTACCATTATAATGAATAAACAAATAAAGCATTTAAATCATAGTCATATTATGTTGGAAACTGTTAATTCTCAATGCAAGGTCCATGTTTTTTATGAATGTATTGTGTGTTCACTTGCTACTTATGTTTGAAGAGAGAGAGAGAGAGAGAGAGAGAGAGAGAGAGAGAGAGAGAGAGA